CATGGAGGGGCCCTCGTCTTGGTCCTCGCACTTGGCCTTGCCTTTGTCCTGGCCTCCGTTGAAGACCGCTCTGACCGCCTCCTCGCCGGAGACGTGGTTTGTGGCGACGTCGAGTAGGTTGCTGGTGGTACGAGGCTTCAGACACCCAAGCTTGTGGATCAGGGACTCGCAGGTCGTCCCGGAGAGGAATGCACTAAAGACGTCCACGTTGACGACATTAGGAAGGGAGTTGCATCGTTTGGAGAACCTACGGATGTAATCCCGTAGGGACTCGCTGGGCTCCTGCTGGTAGCTCTTAAGGTCCCAGGAGTTACCAGGGCGGACATACGTCCCCTGGAAATTTCCGATGAAGACCCTCTTGAGGTCCGCCTAGTCATGGATGCTGCCGTGCGGGAGGAATTCAAGTCATGCCCAAACATGTTCCCCGACACAGATGGGGAGATACTAAATGATGAAATGGTCATTATCCCCTCTTTGGCTCGGTAGGCGAGCCGAAAATCTTCGAGCCAAATATCGGGTTCGTCTCCCTGGTGTACTTGGCGATGTTGGTGGGCGATCAGAAGCACGGTGGGAACGGCGCTCTCTGGATACGCTGGCTAAAGGCCCGTGGTCTCGGGCCATCCGGGCTGGGACTCCGGTCGTCTGGCGGCGACCATGCCTGGGGCGCGTTTCACCGCTCTCCTCGATGGTCCAACCAGGGACCGTGTCGCCTGCCCTCACCGCCGCCTGAGGGACGTCATCATCATGTTGGTCCTGATGCCGGTTGCTGATGAAGCTACGAGCGTCTTGGTGTGGACTGAGCGGTTCACGTACCGGCGGTCGGTGTGGAGCAGGCGCCAGGTCGGACCGCGGCACAGTCATGGCATCCTGTGCTGCGCTTGGCGGCTGTAGCGGTGAACGGATGGAGCGATCCGTCTGGTGCATCCCCACTCCCCTAGTGGGGAGAGAGGCCACGAGTCGGAGTCGCGATGTGGAGCTTTCCGCCTGTTGAACGGCGATGGCTTCCACCAGCTCCCAAAGGTTCCGGTGGACCGCCCGCTCCTAGGGGTCGACGGGCTCGGGAACACCGCGTAGAAGCATTGCCGCGACGGCGATGTTCTAGCTAGCCCGAGCAAACTGTCGGGGGTCATTCCCCTCATTCATGATGTCGCGCTAGACCTGGCGGGCGTGACTCCGGGCGCCACTCACCGGGTTACGCCCATGGGGTGCATCGCGATGCGCCGAGCGTGCGGGCATAGGTGGCGGCTAGTACAACCACCATTGCCGTAGCTCCTCGTAGTGCTCAAGTGCAAGCGTGAGGGCCCCCACACAAGGGTCCGGAGGGGTGTGAGTCTGCAAGGACTCTGCAACCACTGGCGGCTGTCCCAGAGCGTCCGCCATAGCGCACTCCAAGGATGGACGGTGGCTAGGTGCTACATCGCCGATGCTGGAGTCGTCGCTCTCAACCTCATCATACATGAGTTCGTAGAAACAAGTGGGAGCATAGCTCGCCATCCCCATGAATTCGGATGTGAGAGGGGACGCGAGGCCATAGGGGAACCGGTCATACGGTGGTTGCAGTGCGGACAACGCGGTCCCTCCGGATAATTGGCGGAAGATAGTAAATAACAGTATGCACATTACTCACAGCGGGGTTTGAGCAGAGCGTTTGCTCGGAATCAAGCGTAGATGCCTCGTCGTTGAAGTCGTCGGGTGTCCCAGAGCCAATGGAGGGAGCCCCTACGACTGGCGCCGGGATGGGTGCCTCCTCGTGGAGGTGTAGTACGCCGAGCTGGTCGGCGACGAAGTCTAGGCTTCCAAAGAGGAAGGCTTGGGATGGCTCAAAGACGGGTGGAACCCACATCCCAACAGGTGGGAGTGCGGGAAACTCTAGTTAGCCGAAGCGAGTTCGTATCACTTGAGTCCGCCATGGTGAAGGGGGCGGAAAAATGGGTCATCCGATGACCAAAAGTGTGAACGTACAACATCTTCCCCATGGACGGCGCCAACTGTCGGTGCAGAAAGTGACCAACACATAAATATTTATAGTTTTGCAGTACGTTGTGATCGGAGGTGGCCTAGCACTCAATGGCACAGGATTTATACTGGTTCAGGCAACGTGCCCTACATCCAGTTTGAGTTGGTCGGTGACTTTATTCCTGAGCCCAAGTGCTCGAAGTTTGTTGTGGGTTACAAATGGAAGGGAGAAAGATGGGGGTACAAGAGGTCCGGTCGGACTCTGGTCTAAAGGGCCGAGAGTGACGAGAGCTCCGCTATGTGCTAAGTGTTCGAGCGTGTGCTCGAGGTTTGAACCTGGTGGTTCTGTTGTTGTGTGTTGAATCGGTATACGTGAACTAGTCCCCCTGTTGGGAGAGAGCATCCCCTTTTATAGATGAAGGGGATGGCCTTACAAGCGAGAGAGAGAGTACGCCTGCTACTAAGTCTTGTTGCCCACGCTGTCGGGTATAAGGATGATGGTAGGCACCCATAACACTGTTGTTGTTCAGGCGCATGTGGGAGGTTGCGTCGTCTTCTTCTGGTATGGCAGACGTCGGTGCCTGCCATACAGTTGATGCCCAGAGGCATGTAGGGGGTTTTACCATGTTTGCCTGGTATGGTAAATGCCGCCGCCCGCAACACTATTGATGCCCAGAGGCATGTGGGGGAGCCTTACCGTGTTTGTCTGGTATGGGAGTTGATGGCGCCCACAACACTGTAGGGAAAATGTCAACGCCCACAACACTGCTTGGGTTCTGACCTGCCGGGAAGGATGTAGGGTACTGTCCTGCAGGTGTACAGGGTACGGACATCGGTATTGCGGTTGACTTGAGTGCCCTGCCTTACTTGCTCCGCCCGTTTTCTGGTCCTCACCAAGCGAGCGTCCCTGGTCGGTTGGTTCCAGTCGGCTCTGACTGCGCCAGTCGGAGAAGAGTTGTAAGCAGGGGTTCGGTGCATCCCCGGTCGAAGACGTGGGTCGAAGTTGGAGGCGGTGTTTGGCCAGCCGTCCGGTCGGAGAGATGGGCTGGAGTCGGAAGCGAGCGTTGTTCCTCTTTGGCCAGGCCTTCCGGTTGGAGAGGCGGGCCGGAGTCAGAAGCGATCGTTGTTCCTCCTTAGCGAGGCCTTTCGGTCGGAGATTAGATCGCCCTTCTAGCCTTTTGTCTAGGTATTTGGGCCGGCCCAGGAGTTTGCACGTTGTTCGCAACGTCGTCTGCTGGGCCAAGCCTTTGCTGGGAAGCCGGTCCATGAGGGACCCTGGGTTTATGAACCCGACATGGAGAATCCAAGAATCTGAGGTCAGATAGACGTTGAAAAAGATGAAAGGAGGTAAGACGATGGGACCGGATGGTATCCCAATCGAGGTGTGGAGATGCCTCGGGGACATAGCTATAGTATGGCTAACCAAGCTGTTTAACCATATTTTTTGATCGAACAAGATGCCTGACGAGTGGAGAAGTATATTGGTACCGATCTACAAGAATAAAGGGGATATTCAAAGTTGTACTAATTACTGGAGAATTAAGTTGATGAGCCATACTATGAAGCTATGGGAGAGAGTTATCGAGCATCGCTTGAGAGCAATAACACGGGTTTCTATGAACCAATTTGGTTTCATGCCCGAAAGGTCAACCATGAAAGCCATTTTCTTAATAAGACAAGTTATGGAGCGGTATAGGGAGAAGAAGGAGGACCTACACATGGTTTTTACTGACTTAGAGAAGGCTTATGATAAAATACCAAGGAATGTTATGTGGTGGGTTTTGGACAAACATAAAGTCCCAACGAAGTACGTCGGGCTCGTTAAGGACATGTACAACAATGTTCTGACTAGTGTTCGAACAAGTGATGGAGACACGGATGACTTCCCGATTAGGATAGAACTACATCAAGGGTCAGCTTTGAGCCCTTATCTGTTTGCCTTAGTGATGGATGAGGTCACAAAGGACATACAAGGGGGCATCCCTTGGTGTATGATTTTCGCGGACGACGTAGTGCTAGTTGATGAAAGCCGGACAGGAGTGAATCAGAACTGGAGTTATGGCGGGAGACTTTAGACTCTAAAGGTTTTAGACTCAGTAGAACTAAAACTGAGTATATGAGATGTGACATCGGCACTACTACTCGGGAGGAGGAAGATATTAGTTTAGAAGTTCAAGTAGTGCCTAGGAAGGATACATTTCGATATTTAGGATCAATGCTATAGAGATACGGGGATATTGATGAAGATGTGAGACATAGAATCAAAGCAGGGTGGATGAAGTGGCGCCAAGCATCTGGTGTTCTATGTGACAAAAGGGTACCATAGAAGCTAAAAAGCAAGTTTTATAGGATGACGATTAGACTTGCTATGTTGTATGGTGCAGAATGTTGGCCTACGAAAAGACGACATGTTCAACAGATAAGTGTCGCGGAAAGGCGTATGTTGCGTTGGATTTGCGGTCATAGAAGAAGGGATCGAGTTCGGAACGATAATATACGTGATAGATTAGGGGTAGCACCAATTGAAGAAAAGCTTGTCCAACACCGGTTGAAATGGTTTGGACATGTCCAACGAAGACCTCCAGAGGCACCGGTGCGTAGTGAAATCCTAAGCCAGGATAGTAACGTGAAGAGAGGCAGAGAAAGACCGATGTTGACTTGGGTAGAGGCAATAAAAGGAGACTTGAAAGGATGGAATATACCCAAAGACTTAGCCTTAGATAGGAGTGCTTGGAAAACAGCTATTCACGTGCCTGAACCTTGATGGCTTCTGCTGGGTTTCATCTCTAGCCTACCCCAACTTGTTTGGGACTTAAAGGCTTTGTTGTTGTTGTTGTTGACTGAAATAGCTGAATGAAAAGATTAGGTTTGTCGGTTGCTTCTGCTGGTTTGGTACTGTAAATTGGGTCAAGTTAGTTTTTGTTTGTTGCAGTGGGGAATAGTTACATTGGATGGATTTGGTTATTTTTATGCCAATAATATTTATTTTATACTATTGTTTGTGCCATTGTTAGCTTACTCCTAGATTGGCTACATCTTCTGGTTTACTGTGTACAGAGGACCTGCATTTCATATGAAGGTTTATTAGTTGTTTTTATTTTCTTTATAGAACCTGACATGCCACTGCTGTTTGTGATAATAAGTCTCCATTTGCAGGACCATCAGCTTTGCTGATTGGCAATATACTGGCTAGAGAATCCTATGACAAGGAAACAAAAGATTTTCTGGATTAAATTACCTTGAAAACGAAAAAACTGGTGAAAATTGATGACTACAACGCTGCACATGTTTCTCAACTCAGAGAAGACCTTTTCTGCTCTTGCTCATGGTCCATGCTGTTTGAAGATAAGGCGACTAAACTGAAGAACAGCATCAAGGCAAGAGATGCAGCACTCCTTGGCTTCCTGACCACCATTGATTCAGTCTGTCAGGAAAGTTCGACCGCCCTTCCACTGCTTACTGTGGCTGAAAACCACCTCAAAAAAATCTCTTCTGTGGCTAGCAAGCCAGATGTTGCATCGATTCTCTGCAGAATATCACAGTCCTTGGTGAACCTCCGTAGTGAGCTGTTGTCTCTTCTTGAAGATCCAGTCTTGAACAGCGCCATGCGTCCCAAACAAAAGCAGACTTCGGCCAAGAGAACAGATGCCCCAGCTACTTTTGATTAGTGTTGCTCATCTACGCCCTTCTTTTGTTGCCAAGCTAACTATGTATTTTTCTTCTCTTTTGTTACTGCTCCCCTGGAGAAATGGCTGCAGGCCAAGCAACCATGTACGGAGTACGTGTGTCGTGCAACTGCTATCTTTCAGTGTTCTGAACTATGCAAGTCTGTTCTTTAGACTACATCTATGAGTATTTTATTTCCCATTAAAGATGTCTTATCTCTGTTTCAAAACCAAAAAAATCCACCGTTGTGTACATGCTTTCTATGGAAAGCGTTATTCCATTTGCCAGATAGAGCCACTGTCATCACTGCCGCGCAATGCGCGCGCAAATCACTAGTAGTCGTTAATGCCCGTCACTTTTGAATATAGCACCAATCCGAGAATTGACCCGCCGGTGAAGACGATTTCCAACCGTCCCTCTTGAATTGCCAGCGGTTGAAGCCTTTGCGTGCGAACTGCACACCTACCAACCGGTCAAGCGTTCACTCACAAAAGCCAACCGGTCAAGCGCAACCTACTGAAGTGTGTACTGTGTACGTACTCTCATGATAAAATGCAGGCTAGCTCTTGTGTCCGGACAGTCTCAGCTAGCCATCCGCAAACAGAACTCACTGCTGCACATTCAATCCTAGCAAAAATTTAGTGGGCGAGTTCTCATTTTCCCCATTGCCAGGCGGAAGAGGAGGTGATCGGCGATGTCAGGGGGTGACAGGAAGAAGACGGCGTGCGTGACCGGAGGTAACGGGTACATCGCCTCGGTGCTCATCAAGATGCTGCTCGAGAAAGGCTACGCCGTGAAGACGACGGTCAGGAACCCCGGTTCGTTCGGTTCTTCTTCTTCCCTAGTTTCCACACTTGAGCGTGAACGGTTGCAGTTTCTTGTGATCCCGGCCGTGACAAAACGGGATAAGAATTGTTGACAGTGTGGCTGGTCGTCTATATGCTCTGAAGTCTGAACGTGCATGTGTATTATTGTGATTCTGAATCCCAGACGACATGGCCAAGAACTCCCACCTCAAGGACTTGCAGGCGGTCGGCCCCCTGACAGTCCTCCGCGCCGACCTGCTAGAAGAAGGCAGCTTCGACGAGGCCGTCGCCGGCAGCGACTACGTCTTCCTCGTCGCCGCTCCGGTGAACCTCCATTCCAAGAATCCTGAGGTGCACAAACGTCACCACTACCTACTTGTGGGCACCACCCATAATGTCGTTTTCACCTGCTCCGTTGCTCAAATGTGGTGGTGGTGACTGATGGCAGAAAGAACTGATCGAGCCTGCTGTCCGAGGAATCCTGAACGTCATGAGGTCGTGTGCCAAGGCAGGGACAGTGAAGCGCGTGATTCTGACCTCATCGGTGGCTGCAGTCACCGGCAGGCCGTTGCAAGGCGGCGTGCACGTTCTGGACGAGAAGTCCTGGACCGACGTCGAGTACCTCACTGCGAACAAGTCCAGTCACTGGGTAATAGTAACACACAACTATATAGTAACACACTTAAATGTCCTGTCCCCGTTTGCTGATGACGAGCATGGGACCATGCATGTGCTTGCATCGCAGGGGTACGGGGTCTCCAAGGTGCTCGCGGAGAAGGAGGCGTGCAGGTTTGCGGAGGAGCACGGAATCAGCCTGGTCAGCGTCTGCCCCGTCCTCACCGTCGGCGCAGCACCTGCCACAAAGATGGACACGAGCCTCCACGCTAGCCTCTCCCTGCTATCCGGTTGCTTCCAAATTCCCGTGTCGCCTGCTATATATCCGGCTGCTGTGCACACATGAGTCATGTCATGGTTCACCGAAATTTGCAGGCGACCAAGCAACGTTCCGCGTGCTGAGAGGAATCGAGATGGCCACGGGCTGCATGCCGCTGGTTCACGCCGCCGACCTGTGCCGTGCCCAGATGTTCGTCGCCGAGGAGGACGCGGCCGCCGGGAGGTACATCTGCTGCAGCGTCAACACCACCATCGTCGAGATCGCCCGTTTCCTGGCGGACAAATACCCGCAGTACACCGTGAAGACAGATCTGCTGTAAGAATAAGATTCGGCCGGCTTTCACGTATGGAACATATTTTGCACGGGACAGATCAGTGAACGAATGCCCGCGCTTTGCATGCAGCTCCTCCGGCGGGGTCCTTGAGAAGCCGAGAGTGAGCCTGTCGTCGGCGAGGCTGCTCAGCGAAGGGTTCAAGTTCAAGTACGAGACGCTGGACGAGATCTACGACGACGTGGTGGAGCAGGGCAAGGCCCAGGGGATTCTGCCCAACTGATGCTTCCACTGCATTGGCTTCCGTCCATAACCAGAAGCGATCGACAGCACCAAATAAAATAGCAATGAAGTTGGGAAATAAATAAATTTGTTCTCTCTCTATGCATACGATAGCTGAACTGGAGAGGTTCGGTCAGTTTGTGTAAAACTGGGCTCTCTGTGCGTTTCGGTGCTCCTACAATATCTGTATCTACTTATATATATATACTTTTTTTCTATTTTTTTATATTGAAAAGGCAAAATTTCTCTCCTCGAAATCTTCGTCCCGCACCATCCACTGCTACTCCTACAAATGTGAGTATCAGAGATTCAGAGTCTAACCCAAATTCCATATGTCCTGCACTTTATGTGTTCAACACACCAATTACGTGTTACCATGGCCTGTACTTTACATGTTCAAGACCAATTACTGGAAGAACTGCCGGCATGCAGGACCCAGTCGGGCAGTCCAACTCAAAGACGTCAATAGGACACGAGTTCTATTAAACAAAGGAAAATATTTACGTAAACAAGTAAAGAGAGCAAGATAATACTATAATACTAAGAAATGAGTTCTAATTTACCCCTAAACTTTCTTTCCGAATTTTACCCTCCGTTCATCTTTTGACATTAATTTACTAACAGGATTTTAGAGAAGAAACGTTGGGGTTTGCCATCAGGGTTCCAGATTTGGGTTCGAAACTTCTTTTTATTTATTTTCAAGAATTTTGAAAAATCAAGAAAAATCTAACTTTATTGGACTCCGAGATGGTAGCTCTTCCCATCCTCGCACTATCTGTTTGGTTAGAGGTCCAGACGACTTGCTTTAGTACAAATTTTTTTTGTAGCTTTAGATTAATTGGAAAATCCAATTTTTCTATAATTAATTAGAATTTATCTATAACTAACAAGTTATACATAGTCCAATGAGTCCACTACGAAATTTTACTATAGTTCAAGCATACAATAATTAGCATGATGTCCATAAAAATTTCACCCACAATTGGACCATAGAAGCTGCATCTATAAATTATTCCAATTAATTACAGACAAAATTAGATTTTCCAATTAATCTAAGGCTACAGTAAAAAATTTGTACTAAAGCATACCGTATTATATATTCACTGTGTATATCTACTCATGTGGAGTCCAATAAAATTAGATTTTTCATTTTATGATTTTTCTATGATTTACTATGATTTTTCAAAAATTCACTGAAAATTAAAAAAAATTCAAACCCACCGTTACTGTAGCAACCCACCATTACTGTAGTAACCTGTTGTTACTGTAGCAACCGCTGTCAAAACCGTCCGGGGGTAAAATAGACGGTTTTGGAAAGTTTAGGGGGTAAAACAGACGGTTTCATAGTTGGGGTGAGGTAGACCATGTATGAAAGGTGGGGGGTTAATTAGACTTTTTCCATTAAACAAATGTTACTATTTACGTAAACAAGTAAAGAGAGCAAGATAATACTATAATACTAAGAAATGAGTTCTAATAGCGTACAGATTCCTTTCCGAATACAACTACGTTCATCTTCAATATTAATAATAACAGGATTTTAGAGAAGAAAAAAACACATTGCCATCAGGGTTCCAGATTTGAGGGCAAAACTATCGGCTCCAAAAACCAAGCAATTAAAAGGCAAGACATGGCACACTCTGCCAAGACAGACGGCGAGACATGGCACACTCTTCCCTATCCTCGCACTAGCGGCTCTGTTTGGTTAGAGGTCCAGACGACTTGACTGAAAGAAAAAAAGTTGCCTGAGAGTTTTCTAAAAGTTGATGGTTTTTGTCTGAGCAGACAAGTCTAGAGAATATTCGTTTGGTTAGAGGCACGTGCCTCGAAACACTAACAAGAAATATGTATAATATTACGATAATGCTCCACTGTGTGCGTCTGTCCCACATCCAGACGCCGGACACTACGTGGCCTCATGGTATCCACATATTTTACCCATCACACAAATATCCTTTCCAGTTCCATCTCGTCTCTCTCTCCTCCGTCTCTCCATTTAAAGCAACAGGGAGAGGAAGGATGTCCAGGACAGAACACGCCCAACGCATGGGCGCCATGCTCCATTCGCGCCCCCACTCGTCGCCTCAGGTTCGCACAAGTGTGGAGAACGAGCCGACGCTATCTCTCCTTCTCCCATTTGCTCGCTCTCGCTCCTCTCCCTCTCGCTCTGCTCAAGAGCTCGAGCACCATGGCCGCCCACCCAGCTTCCACGGCCACCGCTAGCTCCCGTGCCTCCGAGCGCCCTCCTCTATGCAACCTCCGTCCAAACCAACCACCCCATCGTTAACATGAGCTAACATGAGCTACATGTCCTCTTCCACCCATCAATCTACAGCCAGGCGCTCGATTTCAGTCGCCTGGACATCGACGCGCTTGCCTGGTACAAGCAGCTACTCAGGATAACCAAACATACACAAGGCAAGGTGCAGGCAAGATCCAGACCAGCCAGTTATATTTAGCCTTGTTAAATATCATATCATTTCTATTTCATCATATCGCCCAATGCAACAAAGTGCCACTGGAACATGTTGCGATGGTTGTGGGTTGGCTCGTGGAGGAAGAATGATAGGATCGGATTAGCTTGAGTGGCAGGCATCCTGCTTTTTAATCCTACTACTATCAGACCAGTTGGCATCGTCTCAAGTTCTCAACACGCGGCGTCCATATGGATTGACCTGGCGATGCCC